AAAAAGAGGATACTTTAATTAATAATTGGTGATATTTCCACAAGGATCCTTCAAGAAATTAATTTTATAGCGAATTTTGAAAATTATCGATGAAAATTGCAACATCGAAAATGTTATCAAAACTTCCAACATTGTTTTCTCAAAAACTAAAAGTTATTTTTCAAAACGTGTTGCTTCATTGGAAAGATGACAGTCTTATTAACACTTTGGGAAATTTTCATACTCATATTCCAAGAAGTGGATTTTATACAAATTTTTAAAACTTAATCGGTGAAAATTAAACTAAAAGCGATTATTCGAAAGAGCTTGTTGCATTAAAAAGAGTATACTTTAATTAATAATTGGTGATATTTCCACAAGGATCCTTAAAAAAATTAATTTTATAGCGAATTTTGAAAATTATCGATGAAAATTGCAACATCGAAAATTTTATCAAAACTTCAAATATTGTTTTCTCAAAAACTAAAAGTTATTTTTCAAAACGGGTTGGTTCATTGGAAAGAGGACACTTTTATTAACACTTTGGGAAATTTTCATACTCATATTCCAAGAAATGGATTTTATACGAATTTTTAAAACTTAATCGGCGAAAATTGCAAAATTCGAAAAAATTGTCGATTATTTCAAAAATTTATTTCTCAAGAACTAAAAGTGATTTTTCAAAACGGCTTTTTGCATTAAAAAGAGGATACTTTAATTAATAATTGGTGATATTTCCACAAGGATCCTTCAAGAAATTAATTTTATAGCGAATTTTGAAAATTATCGATGAAAATTGCAACATCGAAAATTTTATCAAAACTTCAAATATTGTTTTCTCAAAAACTAAAAGTTATTTTTCAAAACGGGTTGGTTCATTGGAAAGAGGACACTTTTATTAACACTTTGGGAAATTTTCATACTCATATTCCAAGAAATGGATTTTATACGAATTTTTAAAACTTAATCGGCGAAAATTGCAAAATTCGAAAAAATTGTCGATTATTTCAAAAATTTATTTCTCAAGAACTAAAAGTGATTTTTCAAAACGGCTTTTTGCATTAAAAAGAGGATACTTTAATTAATAATTGGTGATATTTCCACAAGGATCCTTCAAGAAATTAATTTTATAGCGAATTTTGAAAATTATCGATGAAAATTGCAACATCGAAAATTTTATCAAAACTTCAAATATTGTTTTCTCAAAAACTAAAAGTTATTTTTCAAAACGGGTTGGTTCATTGGAAAGAGGACACTTTTATTAACACTTTGGGAAATTTTCATACTCATATTCCAAGAAATGGATTTTATACGAATTTTTAAAACTTAATCGGCGAAAATTGCAAAATTCGAAAAAATTGTCGATTATTTCAAAAATTTATTTCTCAAGAACTAAAAGTGATTTTTCAAAACGGCTTTTTGCATTAAAAAGAGGATACTTTAATTAATAATTGGTGATATTTCCACAAGGATCCTTCAAGAAATTAATTTTATAGCGAATTTTGAAAATTATCGATGAAAATTGCAACATCGAAAATTTTATCAAAACTTCAAATATTGTTTTCTCAAAAACTAAAAGTTATTTTTCAAAACGGGTTGGTTCATTGGAAAGAGGACACTTTTATTAACACTTTGGGAAATTTTCATACTCATATTCCAAGAAATGGATTTTATACGAATTTTTAAAACTTAATCGGCGAAAATTGCAAAATTCGAAAAAATTGTCGATTATTTCAAAAATTTATTTCTCAAGAACTAAAAGTGATTTTTCAAAACGGCTTGTTGCATTAAAAAGAAAATACTTTAATTAATAATTGGTGATATTTCCACAAGGATCCTTCAAGAAATTAATTTTATAGCGAATTTTGAAAATTATCGATGGAAATTGCAACATCGAAAATGTTATCAAAACTTACAACATTGTTTTCTCAAAAACTAAAGGTTATTTTTCAAAACGTGTTGCTTCATTGGAAAGATGACAGTCTTATTAGCACTTTGGGAAATTTTCATACTCATATTCCAAGAAATGGATTTTGTACGAATTTTTAAAACTTAGTCGGCGTAAATTGAAAAATTCGAAAAAATTATCGATCATTTCAAAAATTTTTTTCTCAAGAACTGAAAGTAATTTTTCAAAACGGCTTTTTGCATTAAAAAGAAAATACTTTAATTAATAATCGAAAGTGATAGCGACAGTTCAGTTAGTAATGAGTATGATGATGAATTACAAGCAAAGAGAAGAAAACTAGACGAAACTACAACAAGAGATTTTATATATTGTATTGGGATTGTTACAATGAGGTTGCTAATGACAAACCTGATATAAATAAAGTTGTATTAAATGAAAAAAGTCCTATTGGTGTTGAACTTGATTATTTTATGAACTTGATTATCGTTTAATGTACTTTGGACCAATTAGTAACTACACCTAATTTTATTTATTATTATTAACAATAATACATAAATAGATAATAATAAATGTGACAAGTACCTACCATTATCAAAATGATAGAAATAAACTCTGAAAGTACTTACATAGATATATTTTTAATCAATAAGCATTGTATTGACTGAAATCAACTGAAAAATACATGATTTGTTCTTCTTGTCTTTTTGACAATTCAACAATAGCAGCTGTGGAAATACGAAACCTACGCTATTACTATCAACAAAAGAAACATCTTCATCACTGAGAATAAAGTTTCGATCTGCTTTTGTCTCAACTATTTTTTTTTAAATTGTACTTTGTATCCCTCATCAATTTTATTAATAATTCTGGTCACAAAATGTTTTTTCGTCTTTTTAATTGCTAGTTGTACTAGTACATAATCTTTTTCTTGAATAAAGCGATTGTTTACGACTTTTTCGATTTTTTTCTTCTCTACTCAATTCAAAGTAACTTTTTGGATCGTCGTCATCTGATGAAGACTGACAAAGCTGAATATTTTTGTAACTCTCCTCCTCACTACTTTCTTTCTTGTGTTTCTTTTCCCTTTTTTGAATTTTACTGCTTCTTTAGCAATTTTTCTGTTTACATTTTGTTTAGCATTTTTTCTTCTGTTTAACTTCCTTTAACATCTTTTTTGTTTTAATTAATTTTGATTGTGAAGTGTGTTACTTCGAACCAGTTTCTGAAGAAAGTCTTAAAAGACACACGGCAAAACCCGAAAGTTTCTAGTGTTAGTTCTAGTTTTAGTTCTAATTTTAGTTCATATAATATCTTCATTGAATTTTCCAAAAAAAAACTATTAAGCAGATTTATTTTAATAATAAAACCAGTACAATAGTACAAAATTTTTAATCGTTGATTTTTAAATCAAATTAAATTCAAAAAAGATTATCACTAGAAATAAATTTCAGATGTCACACCGATTATGGCATTTCACCGATAATGATGAAGCAATTGCAGAGAATCACATACACAAGATCGATCAAATTTTAATACAATTTGTGACGAATTGATGGAGCCAACACTCTTCAAAAGGCACCGTTATCTAACTTCTATTAAGTATAAATTGTTGAAATTGGCTAAGGAGAAACTCGGTATTAACAATGTCTGGTCCTATGATGGGAAAATTTTTACTATACATAATAACACATTAATAGTTATAAGATTGTCCTCCGACTTAAATAATCTCTTGAAACCCTCTTTGTAAGTTGAATCAGCGATTTTATAAAAATGGTAAATAGTACAATAATTTGCTGTATTTTTGTATGGTACTTTTTGTTATTATCATTATTTTTATTATTTTGTTTTATGTTATGTTCTCCTTTTGAACTACTATTACTTATCTTATTTCTGTTCTCTTTTTTCTTTCTTTGTGTAATACGGAGTGAGTAATCGAATTCTGTTACTTACTCTATTACTTTGTGTTATAGCAGCATTATTATTATCTTTGCTTTTTCGTTATATTTATCTCGTTATCTTTGTATTTGATTGTGTCTTATATTTATATACATTCTTTCGTTTTGTCAGACTGTTGAATTAATCTACCTCACTAAGGAGTTGAGGTTTGCACATTTAAACGTAAAGATCTTTACAGCGGAAAGTACATAAGTTGCGTAATTTTTTGATTGGCTTCAGAGTGGACTTATTGTTCGTACCCTTTCTAAAACCCATCTTTTTGATCTGATCGATGATGATATGATTGGTATTGATGATTTTCCTATAAAAATAGACAAACGGAAAATTAACCAACTACTGCCAATAAAATTATTAATACGATTATTTTTGATTTTATTTTATTATTTTTCACAACTTCCACTTCCACTTTGAAATGGAAATCGTTGCGCGTATTATCCAACAATAATTCGGATTTAAAATTGTTTTATCAGCGTCATTACCTAAAGAGTTAAAATCGGTTCATGATCAATCGTTGGCAGCAACGACATTTTGAAACTTTATTGCAAACAAAAATTTAATGTCGTCACTTACTGTACTTAAGGTATTTAACTTATTTAAAGTTGCGAACGATCAAACAGTTAGCAAAACTTGCGACGCTATTTCCTGAGGCTACACGTATGTTACAAAATATGTTATTTTGTATATGCGGACGATGTTGTTACCCGTAATTTCGTTATTAGATTATATTGAAAATTTATCACTGTTCTTGGTCTTCTTTAGGATCCCAGATTAGTAAATTAAGTTGGTTGGAAACAATAGGATGACATACCATCGACGATAACACTGTGCAGCAAGAAAAACCATCCCGGTTGGTTCCAATGGTAAATGAAAGTAGACCAACTAACTAACAAAACCCTCGCGGAATTTTACTATATTAGCTCGGGTTCTTTTTATGACCTCCTAAAGTTGGCATGTATTTACGGCAGTTTTTGGAAATAATTTAAGTTATTTTTATATACTCTGTTTATTTTCTTAAAACATTTCATGAAAAATGACTTAAAACGGACAGTAGACTACAGGACGTACAGGTATACGTCCAGGGAGTCCATTCATCACCCTTCGCTACAAGAAAGAAGCAAGAAAGTCTTACAGGTAAAAAGACGAACAAGTACTCGTACAGGGGGTCCATTCGTCACCCTTCGCTATAAGAATGATACAAGAAAGTCGTACAGGTAAAAAGATGAATAGGTAGAAGGGTAGAAGTTAGATGTTCAGGCGGGTTAGTTCATAAGTCCGTAGCTTTTAGTTCGAGAATATTTCTCAAACAGTGAGCATCTGGCAGAGCATCGTTTATTTGTGACTTAGTGATTTGTTTGGTGTGTGTTTATTTGCGACTTGTGTTTGTTTGGTGAATTGTTTGTTGTGTTTACGGTGGAAAAACCAGTATTTGTGGCGCTAAAATGGTTTGCAATATAAACAATTTCTGTTACGTTTGTGGCCATTTCACACCACAACAGGAGTAAAGTGTATTTGAGTGTCCCAAGCGCTCAAATACCATTGCCACACACAGAAAACATTCCAGTGCCAAAACCACCGAGCCCGGACGTGTTATCGGGTATTACTTTTTCAACCCACTTGAGTGATACTTTTTCATTGTATGAACCAGTAGCAACTGTATCAACTGGGTCAATTTTGGTTACTCAAAATCAGCTGGACTCCATCGTTGCGAAGTTAGGACTATCGCAACGTAAGTCGGAACAGTTAGCTAAATTTCTAAATTCGAACAATCTGTTGGCACCTGAGACAAAAGTCACAGCATATAGGCATCGACAATCCGCACTGCAAAAATATTTCACTGTGAATGAGAAGCAAACATCTGCATACTGCAAGGATGTCGACGGTCTCATGAGAGAAATGGACATCCTATACAGACCAAATGAGTGGAGACTGTTTATTGACAGCTCCAAAATAAGCTTGAAAGCGGTGTTGCTCCATCAAACAAACACGAAACCATCGGTACCAATCGCAGCATACAGCATTGAAACGTAAGAAACCAACGATGCATTAAAAAGAATACTGCAAAATGTTGATTATGACAAACATCAATGGCGGATATGCTGTGACTTGAGGGTTGTTGCAATTCTTTGCGGATTGCAAACCGGATACATTAAATATATGTGTTTTATCTGCGATTGGGACTCCAGATATAAAGGCGACCAATATACAAACCACAAATGGCAGAGCAGAGAATCGAGCAAACACGTAAATGCCAATGTAATTCAAGATCCTTTGGTGCCACAAGACAAAGTTATATTACCTCCACTTCACGTGAAACTTGGAATAGTCAAAAGTTTCCTGAAAACTATGGCTAAGAGGCAAGAAGTTTATGCGGTTTTGGCACAAATTTTCCCTCGACTTAGCGAAAGCAAATTGAAAGAAGGTATGAAACCTTAAATATTATTTTTTTCACAACAAAATGAGATATCAGATTGAGTATTTAAACGTAACATTAAAACTTTCTCCTTTTAGGCGTTGTGAATGGCCCAGACATTCGAAAACTGGTGAAAACTGAAGAATTCGACAATGTTTTAATTGACAACGAATTGACTGCTTGGCGTTCCATAAAAGAGGTCATTGAGGGCTTATTAGGGAAACATCGGTCTGAACACTATCAACGTTATGTGCATATCATGTTGGATGCGTTCTCCAAAATTGGTATTAATATGTCGCTGAAAATTCACTATTTGCGTCATCATCTAGATTACTTCGGTCGACAGTTAGCCACCGAGTCAGATGAACAAGGGGAACGTTACCACCAAGTAGCCGTGCCATTTGAAATGAGGTAATGTGATTAATTTTTTGTTGCATAGAAAACGGATTTTAATGAAAACAATTTACAGATATAGAGGAAAACAATCGCCCGACGCAGTTCTTGCAGAAATTTGTTGGTGGAGCAAAAATGTGTTTGAAGATGAAGAAGAAGAAGGAGGTGTCTCAGAAAGAGAAACCGAAATTTTGGTAGATTCAGACGCGGACACTGACGATGACAGCGATGGTATCGACGATTTACCACTCCAATTGGCACCAAAAAGGGTTCGAACAACATACTCGTTCCATCTCATTTATCATTGGAAAATAAACAAAAAATACAAGAATAATGTTTTTTCATTAAAAAAATTAAATCCCACATTTAGCCCCCAAATTAGCCCATTTTTGCAAAGTAATTAATTTTCCATTTTCAACCACGAAATATTTATACTATTTTTTCAAGTTTAAATGGTTAATATCCATTTATACATCGCGAAAAGTCGATAACATGACCCAAAAATATGCCAACTTCAAGAGGTTGCATAGAAAAATTTCAAGTAGCTATTAAAAAAAAAATCCGAGCTAATAAAGTAAAACTCCGTGGGGATTTTGTTAGTCTATTGGTCTACTTTCATTTCCCGTTGGAGTCATTTGGGATGGAAGCGATGACCCGAAATTTGTTGCACTGTGTAATTCAATCATATTGATTTCAGTATAAAAGATAGTTGCCTCAGTTAGAATTTTCTGACGCATTTATTGTAGAATATGGTGCGGTAGCGTACCTGAGATGTTTTGCTAGATAATACAATCAATAAAACTGTCCAAAGTTGCAACAAAGGATTTTTGGAACACAGAAACATTCAGTAAGAAGTAATGGTGTTAACTTCGACAAAAAGGAAAAGTTGTAAATCGATGAACAACTTGGAGACTGATAATACAATTTTTAATGGTGAAGCTGATGGAAAAATTTCCGCAAATGTCGTTTGGAGTTATTTTCGTTATTCTTTGATGATTTATCATCAAAGAATACGTAAAAATAGAGAAATCAGAAATGACTACTTAGAATTTTTACATACAATTAGTATTTATGGCAGCATACCCTTTTTTTATGAAATTTTGTCTTTCAAGGAATTTTGAGAGGGTGAGGAGAAGGTTAATCGGTGTATAGGTAAAACTTTGCGTAGATAAGTTTACTTCGAGGAGGTGAATATGAGAATATGTTAATCTTGAGAAGTAAATACTATTTTTCTATACGATTAACTTATACATGTTTTCTTAAAGATGGTTAATAATAAATACCATCCTAAAAAATGTATAAAAATCTCATCTTTGTAAGGTTAACTTCTTAAGGGGGTATGCCACCACCTTGGAGACCTGAAAATATAAAGATAACTTTAAGATTTTTTTGCAATGCGGGGGAAAAGTTTTCTAACAACGGATTGTAAGCTTTTCGTTAATAACAGTTACTAAAATTGCACCCGCTAGATGTCCGCAATGTTAGGATTGCAAATCGCGCAAGGTCATTGGCGTGCCGGATTTCTCCAAAACAAGAAGTCGAATAATCAAATTTCTAGTGCGATTACTTTTTTAAACTCAAAAATTAGAAAGCTACGTAGGATTTATAAAAAAAATTTCCTTTTCAAAATTCTTTCAAATGTTTGTTTAATGCTGAAGTGTCTTTACTGATATGTTCTTTAAACCTAATTACTATATTGCGGAACATTTTATGGAATAGACGCCACTTAAATCCTAGAATTTGTTCTCAAACTTAAAGAAATTTTGTTCGCAGATCAGTTTTAGCAAATTAATGAAACTATTAATTTCCAAAATGTTAAGGTTTAAGGTCTAAGGTTAAGGTCTAAGAATCCAGTGTTTCTTAATAATATCCAAAGTATCTCTAACCGGCACATTACTGTAAAGGTTCTTTATGTCGAATGAAATGAGTCTAAATGTAGTTTTGATGTTTAAGTCTTTAATCTTGTTTATCAAATCTATTGAGTTTTTTTATTGTGTGTCCAAAAATACATTTCATCATTATTTGGAATTTTAATAATATTATAATAATATCTTGTCTCCTTTGACTCCAAGTAGTGTTTCCAACCAATAAGACGTTTACTAGACAAAATTCCAACAATCTTTGCCCACTTCTGTTCATCACTGCCTCTCCCTGATCCCCATATTCTCCTATACCACTTCCCCCCTTGTGTATATCATTACATATTCTCGCAATCCAGTCTCCCATTATAATTACATCCTCTCCTTGTTCTCTGAATTTATCGAAGGTTTTCTGCAGAGTTCAGTAAAAATCTTGTATTTCTTCTTCTTCCGTTGGTGTGTAAATTTGAACTATATTCACCTTTCCGTTTAGATCAATTCCCAATTCCAGAATTCTTGAATTTACTGGTGTATACTTACTCTTTTATTTAGTTTCTCTGCTGTAATTATTCCTACTTCTTCCTTGCTCCATGTATTTTCTTGGGCTCCTGAAAAGTATAGACTATAATTGTTTGATAATTATATGCTTTCCCTTCCTTTTTTGCGCTTCACTAATTCCCATTATTTCTATCCCAAACCTCTCTATCTCCTCTATTATTCCCCTTTCCTTTTCCGTTGAAGTTGTAATATTCTTGCTTGGGTCAATAACTCTCTTATATGACGGGGAGGAAACTCTAGAACTATATTCATCCTATGGGAAATTTTCTGCTCTTTTCATCGGTATATAACACATCTCAATCACACGTTTGCACAATCGTTTTTCAGCCCAGCAACAAACTTTTCCCTTGTATTTCCGTCTACTTTTCGGGCCAATATTTTCGTTATCTAGAAAGATAGCGAAAAACTAAGGTTGGAAAGCTTGGTCTTTTCTATATCTTAAACCATGTTTTCGTCCGCCGATATATTAATAATAAGAGCAGAAAAAAATAAAAAACGACACACTACATTTAAATCACCTCAAAATTGCCCCACTTTAAGGCTTTGTGCAGCCGTTATCAGAAGGAAATTCAACAAATGGTTTACTATTACATATTCGAAAGGAGCTAACCTTGGCCTGTCTTATTTCGAATTTTCATTTACAGACTCTGTCAATATCTGCCGGCGTCTGTAAAAGAAACGCACCTGAAAGACAACCTACAGGTAGCAGAACGCAATCACTTTTTATCCTAACTTTCTTATTTGATGAAGGAAAAATTGGGACAAAGTTTTACCTGAGAGCGAATCCTAACTTCATTTCATATTGACAGATAATTTTTCATGCACTCTTAATTTATTTAAAACCGTTTAAAAACATATACATAAGTGCGAAGGCTAAGATGGCTACATAAGATGAATATAGTTCTAGAGTTTTTTCCCCTTCATATAAGAGAGTTATTGACCCAAGCGTGGTTTAACCACGGTAAAAATTCGTGGTTTAGGTAGTTCATAGTCAAAAAAGGGATTGTGCAAACGTGTGATCACGGTGTGTCACACATCGTTGGAAAGAGCAGGAAATTTCCCATAAGCTAAATATAGTTGTAGAGTTTTCTCCCTGTCAAATAGGAAAGTTATTAGTGCAAGAAATATTTGCGTGTTTTTATCGGTAGGGGCTTTTTCAGGTGCGTTTTTCTTACAGACGCTGATAGATATTGGCGGACGAAAACTCGGAATAAGATAGTCGAAGGTCAGCTCTTTCCGAATATGTAAACCATTTATTGAATTTCCATCTGGTAACGGCTGCACAAGGCCGTTTGGTAATTCTGAGGTAAATTGAATGCAGCGCGACGTTTCTTATTTTTTCTTGCTCTTATTATCAACATATCGGCGGACGATCGGATATCGGTTTAAGATAGAGAAAAGACCAAGCTTTCCAACCGTGTGCTTAGTTTTTCGCTATCTTTCTAGATAACGAAAATATGGGCCCTAGAAGTAGGTGGAAATATAAAGGAAAAAGTTTGTTGCTGGGCGGTTTGTTGCTATCGTCTCGCCGGTCAAGATTGGTGGTTTTCTCTGTAGATGTAAACATTATTTTTCTACGTTAGTAACTCATAAATTTTTCTTATTAATAAACACTATCCGTGTTATATATCTGGAGAGTTTTGACATTCGTGGGTTGGTAATATGTTTTTCGACAGTTAACGATTCGCAAATTTACATGTATAACAGTTACGAATAAATCATAATTATTAAAGTAAGTTTATTATTAAATACATATACAACAGTGGCGACGAGGCGAACATTCGAACCGCAATACAGTGGTGAGCACATACAAATTACACTACAAATTACGCAAATCTTACAACCATTACAATTGAGGTTATGATACGGAAGCGTTCCAATTCCCGAGTGAACCTTTACTTTTTTACCTTTCGATCAAGGGCCGCTACATTCCCAAAACGCCTTGATAGCCCGCTAGGCGTATCCTAAATTCTATACAAAATCCTATTTTCAAAATGGAACAAACATTATTACAAATTACGCAAATCTTACAAACGTTACAAGAAAACCAAACTACCATTTCGTCAACGATATCAAATCAAAAAGAAGTTGTTGATGTAAAGGGAGGTAATTTACAACCGTACGATGAAGCCAACGAAACATTTAATTCATACTTACAGCGATTACAAAATTATTTAGATCTACGAAATCTAAAAGCAAATACACCCGAAGGAAATAAGAAATGTGTACAAATTTTAATAAATTGTCTTGGACCAAAACAGTATCAACTACTTACAAGTCTTACAGCGCCAGAACTACCAAATANGTACCTATTTATGCTCTACTCAGGGAGGACACTAAATTCTGTTGGTCATCGAAATGCGACAAGGTGTTCAAACAGTTGAAACAAGAGATTGCTAGTGACAGGGTTCTTACACCTTATAACCCAGAGCTACCACTTTCGATTGCAACTGATGCTTCACCAATTGGTTTGGGAGCTGTGATTTCGCATACCTTTCCGGATAGAACCGAACGACCGATTGCGTTTGCGTCAAGGTCTCTGGCTAAAGCAGAAGCAAATTATAGCCAGATCGACAAAGAGGCAACAGCTATAGTATGAGGGTTAAAGAAATTTTTCTTATACTGTTATGGACGACCTATAACACTGATAACTGATCATAAACCTTTAAAAGAATTTTTCATCCAACAAAGGACTTGCCAACAACATCTGCAATACGATTGTTGCATTATGCAAATTTTCTGGCAGAATTTAAGTACGGAATTCAATATAGAGAAACAAAAAAGCATGCGAATGCTGATTACTTATCTCGATTTTCAAGACCAAATTACGGAAAGGACGAACGTTTGGATATGGATTCAACTTATGCCTTAAATCAATTAGATACTTTACCAATTGGACGAGAACAAATTCAAANGAGTAAAAACAGCTCCTAACGTGTGGCAACGATTTATGGATCAAATCCTACAAGAGTTGAACGGCGTAGTGTGCTTTTTCGACGATATATTAGTCCAAGGAAAAACTAAAGAAGAATTTCTTCATAATTTGGAAATGGTATTTCAAAAGTTAAGGGTAAATGGACTACATTTGAAAAAGGAGAAATGTCAATTTCTTGTGGATTCTATAACGTACTTGGGACATAAAATTGATAGAACTGGACTTCATCCTACTCAAGACAAAATAAAAGCCATTATAAACTGTCCGAAACCAACGAGTGTATCTGAGGTGAGAACATTTCTGGGACTGGTGAATTATTATCAAAAGTTCCTACCGAATGTGTCTAGCAAATTGGCACCTATTTATGCTCTACTCAGGGAGGACACTAAATTCTGTTGGTCATCGAAATGCGACAAGGTGTTCAAACAGTTGAAACAAGAGATTGCTAGTGACAGGGTTCTTACACCTTATAACCCAGAGCTACCACTTTCGATTGCAACTGATGCTTCACCAACTGGTTTGGGAGTGCGAATGCTGATTACTTATCTCGATTTTCAAGACCAAATTACGGAAAGGACGAACATTTGGATATGGATTTAACTTATGCCTTAAATCAATTAGATACTTTACCAATTGGACGAGAACAAATTCAAAAAAAACTCTTAAGGATCCTGAAACTGCAAAGCTTTATAAGAACATCCAAAGTGGATCTGAAATGGAAGCTGACGAGTTAGTCAGGTATTCCACAGAAAATGGATGTATTTTGAAGGGTATCCGTGTGGTTATTCCTAACAAGTTACAAAAAAGGATTTTGGATGAGTTGCATATTGGACATACACGTATAGTAAGAATGAAGAACTTAGCAAGAAGCTATGTGTGGTGGAAAGGGATAGATAAGGATATTGAAGGTTTAGTAAAATGTTGTTTATATAAGAATAATCCAAGCAAACAAACACCATATCATCCTTGGGAGTATCCAACTCAGCCGTGGCAGTGTATTCATGTTGATTACGCGGGTCCGTTCCAGGAAAGGTATTTTCTAATAATAGGTAGTCGATGCTCATTCGAAATATCCTGAAGTGTTTATTACAACCAAAACATATTCGAAAACCACAATAAGGTTGTTGCGTGAAACATTTGCACGATTTGGCATTCCAACAACTTTAGTGAGTGATAACGGAACCTGTTTTACATCTCAAGAATTTCAGAAGTTTTTACAACTTAATGGAGTCAAACACAAACTTACAGCACCTTATCATCCGGCTACGAATGGCCAAGCTGAAAGATTCGTACAAACTGTCAAACAAGGATTAAGAACTATGTCAGGTGAAGGAGACTTATCTGTAAGGTTGACACGTTTGTTAATGCAATACAGGCGAATTCCACATTCCGAAACGGGACAATCACCGGCGGAGTTGTTATTTAAGAATCATTACCGAACCAGGTTGGACTTGGTGAGAAGAGACCTTCCTGCAGAAAAAAATGATAGAATTCCTGATGGAACTTCGAGAGATTTCCAAGTAGGTGACTATGTACAGGCGAGATTTTATGCTAACAAAGATGAGAAGTGGAAGTTCGGAGAGGTATCGCAAAAACATGGAAAACTACACTATGAGGTCAATATCGAGGGACAGTCGCACCGACGACATCAGGACCAACTGACAAGTTGTGGAAAAACCAATGACGAAACTGAGCCGACTGTTGAAGAAACGCCAAAACCAGAAAATACAGAGAAAAGTGATTCAGATCCAATTCCGGAAGTGATACAACAGAATGTTCCAGGAATAAGGAAATCATCTAGAATTAGGAAACCTCCAAATAAGTTAAATCTTTGACAACTTAATTTGCAGTGGTTAAACTTTTCAAACGGGGAAGAGGAAGGTGTTATATATCTGGAGAGTTTTGACATTCGTGGGTTGGTAATATGTTTTTCGACAGTTAACGATTCGCAAATTTACATGTATAACAGTTACGAATAAATCATAATTATTAAAGTAAGTTTATTATTAAGTACATATACAACAATCCGAAAAAACGTATCAATATCTGAATTTCATTAGGTTATCTTTTATTGAGATTATTTCTGTAGAACATTTTAGATGCTTTTTTTGGTAGAAAAACGAATTTAAAATCGAAAATAAAAAGTGGTATTTTATTCCATTAAGTTTTCTTCTTGATATTCCCGTTTAAATCCATTTTGGAAGGTATAAAGTGGATATGGTAAAATTCTGCTATGCTCTTACTTTTTTTGGTGGTTATCGCGATGGTGTTATAAAGAGTTTATTTTATAGATCAATTTTTTGAAACAAAACTTTTTGGTTTAAATGAAAAATTTGAACGTTTAACCTTGAATAGGTACTGATTTGCGCGAAGCAATTCGAAAATTGTGACCGAACAGCGTCGTAATCGGTTTTTAGTATCGTTCGAGCATCGTAACCATCGTAACGAGAAGGACGTAAATTAAAAATAATATGTGGTTTAACTTAAAAATGTTGTCGTTTTAAACACGATTTTATATTATAAGAAAAACTCGTATTGGTCAATTAATTATTTTTTGTGTGAAGTGACGAAAAATGAGATACCTTTTCTCTCAACAAATCTTTAATCAATGTTGAGTTGATGTGTTTAAGATAAACGGTAAGATTTAAAAATATAATTTATTTATTTTGGCATTTAATTTTAAAGGAGCGATTTTGTTAACAAGGTTGTTGAAGGTTTATAATTAATTATTATGGTTGTTTCTTTAAATATCTACACTATTTTTTGTTGTTCCTTTTTTGCAAGGTAAAGTGAATATATTGATATTCGGAATAAAAAGTACATTAACATTAGACATAAAGGTTAGCCTTAAAAAGTAACCATGACTTTAATATGTACCTACTTAGTATGAATACAAAAATACATGAAATGAATATCAAATATCATCGATTGATTCATATAGAATGGTATTCAATTTAAAAAGAGGTTTCAGGTTGCAACATTAATTTACATGTTATAACTTATCATTGACTTATTTTAATAACATCTTATCTTTGCTCTTTTAATGACGCAGTTAAGTACACACTACTTAATTATGTTTATTAATAATTACACCGAAACGAACGAGAAAGAGAAAGTTAAAATTGGGTTATTTGATAGCACACCGGCGGAGATAGTTTGCTTTTAAAAGGGAGACCGAAAATGGTACAAGGATCCCGTGTCTTTAGCAAGCGATCTGAACTCTTATCTTCAGTAGAAAGAGAGAGAAAGTAAAAGAGTTCAGGGTCGTTTTACCGCAAATATAAAAGCTCACCAAGCAAAAACGAAAAAGACCTGTTCCAATAAGTTGAAGGTAATATGTAATAAATGGTAGCAAAACTAGAATTAGATCGAGAACTGAAATAATTATAGCGATTTCATTTTTTGAAAGGATATTCATTTAAACTTTTCTTAACGTTAATAAATTAAAGTGGAAGTAATAGAAAGAAATTATCTTTAATAGTTTAAAAATTGGTTTTTAACTTTTTATAGTCATTAATAAAGGCTATTTTTAGAATGTAATCTGCTGTTAACGTTTTCTAGAAAATGTTATAAAGAAAACGTTTAGTTCTAATTCATTGGTTTTAATCATTTATAATTTTTGAGTAGTTTGATCAGAGATAAATATGCTTTTTTATTAATATAATGAGTAAGAAAATTATATAAAGATAGTTCTTAGAATTTATAACAAACAAGGTTTAATTTCGCAAACTATATTGTTTTGCAATCGATTTATTATTTTATGTCTGTTAATAGAATTCTGTACAAAACTTCAATTAGAAGTGATTAATTTGAAAGTAGCTTGAAACTTGGAGCGTTTCCAAAACACGTTCTTTATAAGTCTTGTAATTTTTGGACCTATAAATCATAAACGGCCGCAATCTAATCATGGCCAATTATTAGTTGCAAACCAATTAATCACTAGATATCAAAATTTGCATTAAAATGGTTTTTATTACATGATGACATCTAAAATCGTTCGTGAGTTACGATACGTTTTATATATGTATAAAACGCATTAATTAAATTAAAAAGTGATAACATCCAATTTTGTAAGACTAAATAAATGATTTTTAACACATTAATATCAATTAAATTTGCTTTAAAATGAATTATTTCCAAATCGTTCTTGAAATACTATTTATTAATTTGCACTTTTATCAATATAACCTTAATAACTGCATGTAGTTGAATTAAAATATCGTACCACCACGGTTTATATGAACGTAAACAATATTTTTGGTGAGTGAAACTGGATTAATTCAACTACTAATTGCACAGTGCAACAAATTTCGGGTCATCGTTTCCATCCCAAATGACTCCAACGGGAAATGAAAGTAGACCAATAGACTAACAAAATCCCCACGGAGTTTTACTTTATTAGCTCGGATTTTTTTTTAATGACTACTTGAAATTTTTCTACTTGAAAAAACATTATTCTTGTATTTTTTGTTTATTTTCCAATGAATTACACGATAAATGAGATGGAACGAATATGTTGCACGAACCCTCTTTGGTGCTAGTTGGAGTGGGAAATCGTCGATACCATCGCTGTCATCGTCAGTGTCCGCGTCTGAATCTACCAAAATTTCGGTTTCTCTTTCTGAGACATCTCCTTCTTCTTCTTCTTCATCTTCAAACACATTTTTGCTCCACCAACAAATTTCTGCAAGAACTGCGTCGGGCGATTGTTTTCCTCTATATCTGTAAATTGTTTTCATTAAAATCCGTTTTCTATGCAACAAAAAATTAATCACATTACCTCATTTCAAATGGCACGGCTACTTGGTGGTAACGTTCCCCTTGTTCATCTGACTCGGTGGCTAACTGTCGACCGAAGTAATCTAGATGATGATGTAAATAGTGAATTTTCAGCGACATATTAATACCAATTTTGGAGAACGCATCCAACGTGATATGCACAGAACGTTGATAGTGTTCAGACCGATGTTTCCCTAATAAGCCCTCAATGACCTCTTTTATGGAACGCCAAGCAGTCAATTAAAACATTGTCGAATTCTTCAGTTTTCACCAGTTTTCGAATGTCTGGGCCATTCACAACGCCTAAAAGGAGAAAGTTTTAATGTTACGTTTAAATACTCAATCTGATATCTCATTTTGTTGTGAAAAAAATAATATTTAAGGTTTCATACCTTCTTTCAATTTGCTTTCGCTAAGTCGAGGGAAAATTTGTGCCAAAACCGCATAAACTTCTTGCCTCTTAGCCACAGTTTTCAGGAAACTTTTGACTATTCCAAGTTTCACGTGAAGTGGAGGTAATATAACTTTGTCTTGTGGCACCAAAGGATCTTGAATAACATTGGCATTTACGTGCTTGCTCGATTCTCTGCTCTGCCATGTGTGGTTTGTATATTGGTCGCCTTTATATCTGGAGTCCCAATCGCAGATAAAACACATATATTTAATGTATCCGGTTTGCAATCCGCGAAGAATTGCAACAATCCTCAAGTCACAGCATATCCGCCATTGATGTTTGTCATAATCAACATTTTGCAGTATTCTTTTTAATGCATCGTAGGTTTCTTTTGTTTCAATGCTGTAGGCGATTGGTACCGATGGTTTCGTGTTTGTTTGATGGAGCAACACCGCTTTCAAACTTATTTTGGAGCTGTCAATAAACAGTCTCCACTCATTTGGTCTGTAGAGGATGTCCATTTCTCTCATGAGACCGTCGACATCCTTGTAGTATGCAGATGTTTACTCCTCATTCACAGTGAAACATTTTTGCAGTGCGGATTGTCGATGCCTATATGCTGTGACTTTTGTCTCAGGTGCCAACAGATTGTTCGAATTTAGAAATTTAGCTAACTGTTCCGACTTACGTTGCGATAGTCCTAACTTCGCAACGATGTAGTCCAGCTGATTTTGAGTAACCAAAATTGGCCCAGTTGATACAGTTGCTACTGGTTCATACAATGAAAAAGTATCGCTCAAGTGGATTGAAAAAGTAATACCCGATAACACGCCCGGGCTCGGTGGTTTTGGCACTGGAATGTTTTCTGTGTGTGGCAATGGTATTTGAGCACTTGGGACACTTAAATACACTTTACTCCTCATTTTCTTTCTGTTCATTCCACTACCAGAATTCACACACGCGTAACAAACAGATGGGTCGTGATTAATCGGATCCGTCCAGATCATTGGCACGCCGAACGACAAACTTTTTATTCTTCTATGCATCCAATTCAAGAGGTCACTGTAACATTTTTTGCAAACCACATTGGGAACCCAAGTCACGTCGGAAATAACTGGTTGGTTGAAGTATTTCTCGTATGCGAACTTAAATTCTTCACTGAAAGAGCCATGCTTTATCTGTTGTGGTGTGAAATGGCCACAAACGTAACAGAAATTGTTTATATTGCAAACCATTTTAGCGCCACAAATACTGGTTTTTCCACCGTAAACACAACAAACAATTCACCAAACAAACACAAGTCGCAAATAAACACACACCAAACAAATCACTAAGTCACAAATAAACGATGCTCTGCCAGATGCTCACTGTTTGAGAAATATTCTCGAACTAAAAGCTACGGACTTATGTACTAACCCGCCTGAACATCTAACTTCTACCCTTCTACCTATTCATCTTTTTACCTGTACGACTTTCTTGTATCATTCTTATAGCGAAGGGTGACGAATGGACCCCCTGTACGTGTACTTGTTCGTCTTTTTACCTGTAAGACTTTCTTGCATCTTTGTTGTAGCGAAGGGTAATAAATGGACTCCCTGGACGTATACCTGTACGTCCTGTAGTCTACTGTCCGTTTTAAGTCATTTTTCATCAAATGTTTTA